ACAAGTACATGCATCAGGCAGAAAGGCAAAAGTAATTTTCATTCATAAATTGAGCATAACAAAAGTCATTTTACAAATGAAAACTACCCTATGTCAGCTTCTCACAAAAATAAATAGTCAAAAATCAAACAAAACCTACATACACAGGATACCAAAACAAAACAAAAAATACTTGGACTCTAGGTCAGTCTTCAAGGTCAGACGCCAGTGGCTTAACGCCTACCTGCTCGTACGAAATCGGCTGCTCTGATACCACGTTAGCGGTAGCTAAGGCTTTGAGCCAGTCGTGTTTGAACCCCCTGTTCTCGAACTTCGGCACTTCTTCTACATAATTCTCCAAGGCCGCATCCTTGCCAGCTTGGAATGATTTGGAAATCTTAGATTCGGTGTTTGCTATCGCCCTCTTCGACTCCTCCAAATCAGCCTCCAGCTTGGCAATTATCTCGTTGGCCAATTTGAGTGCTTCTTCGCTGGCATTTGCCCTCTCCTTGGTGGCTAATCTCAGCTGGTCAGCAGTCTTGGCCTTATCTACTTCGGCATCGGCCCTCGCTCTCCCTGCCTCTACTTTCATGGCCTCAAATTCAGCTCTGAGAGAGGCCTCTGCTACCTTCCCCTTCTTATTTTCCACCTCGGCTATCAGAAAGCCGATCTGTTCGATAGCGTCATGCTGGTGACGGGTAATCTCAGCTATCCTTCCTGCCGCCTACAAAACAAGAAATCAGTAAGCCAATGTAAAATTTTCTTTTGGTTAGCCTTGCAAAATTACAAACAAGGATCACGTACCAATATCGCTGATTGAGCGGCTAATGCGATGGACAGCAGATCGTGCTCTGCCCTAAAGGTTGCTCTGTCAACCGGTAAAGAAATAGAGGAGGCCAAGCTCAAGGCCACAGCTAGGTCTTTTACAGCCGATGCATCGGAAGCAACCGGCGTGTTCCTTATCCTTGGTTGTATTATAAACGGCACGACCAGGTCTGAATTTTCCATTCGTGGCCGTTTATCCACTAGGTCTTCCGAATAACCGACTTCTTGTTCGGCCAGACGTTTTTTTCCCCTTTGCTCTGTCACTTGGCCCTCCTATTAATTAACAACAGGCTCTATTTCAGCCACATCAGTCTGAACCACCTCCTCAACAGGAGCAAGTGGAGTTTCTACCCTAACGTCGGGTGGAGAGGGCAGAGGTTCATTTCGCTTGGCTTCGGCTCTCCTACGAGCAATCATCCTCTCGGTATTTTTCCACCTAGCCATTTGAGTGAGCGACTCACCAGCCATGCTATCGGGATACGAGCCGGGTAGGTCCCCGAAGTCGGTGAAAATATCTTCGAAGGACACATTCGCTCGGCCAGAAGTGGATGGAGGATTAAGTCCGGCTTCTTCAAAAGCCAAATTTAGTGTCGCGTCAATCTCCTCCTCTAATCCGTCAGATCCGTCCTGGGATGGTTGATTCGGCTGCTCAGCGACCCCTTCGGCTACTTGTTCGTCCGCTGGCTCTGAGTCTGAAGCCTCAAAACCAATCTGCCTAAGGTTCTTGAAGCTCGAAAAAACAAGCGCCGTAAGGTGCTGTTCACCCCTTGGAATCGGAATGTTATCTGCGGTCAAAAAAGTAGTGTAGGTCGGCTCGTATCTCAAAAGAATGTGGGCCCCCCTCCCTTGTTTTTGGAGATTCCGACGGCCGAAGAACTGGAGTACAGCTCTGATCTGCGCAAGTATAGTGTCGTCGGTCGAAACGAAAACTTTTTTCAAATCGTTTCCTACACAAATAAAATGGTAAGTACGTAGGATTTGAACCAAGTAAATATTTAATAAAAATTCGTGGGGGATTAAACCACCACCTGGTTCGCCCCTTCGCCTGGGCACTGGATCTTGACGATCTTCGCTCTCGCTGAATTTCCAATTGCCACGGACAACGACCATAACATCGTCAACACGCTTGCCAGAGCTGGCAAGCATTGTCATCATATGTTGGGCGATGTCCTTGGCCCTGAGGAAATAGCGCCCCTGCCGGCCAGAGGATTTGGCCAAGGCATAACAATGCCAAATGGCAGGGATTCCAAAGTTAAGCCTAAGGCGTCGGTTTAGTTCTACAATTTTCATTATTATTCGGTAAAAATTTACGTTCGGCTGAGAATGGATTAAACCCCAATGGCGAAGGACAGCCTTCAAAAGTGGATGAAGAGGGAAACGGACTCCGCCCTCAATAATTAACAAGAGAGGAAAGACGATTGTACTCTCATCGGTCCTCTCCGTGTCAATCACGTTCTCTGCCAAGAGTGACAGATGGACGTCGTCAAGAATAAAAAAAATGGTGACGGAAACCAGAGACTCAATCTGCAAAAAGAAGGGCTCTCAAATGTTTCGCCATCATAGTAATTAAAGTGGACACTCTAAACAGCAAACAAACAAGGAAAATAAGTTGAAATGGAAAAGAGAAACTTACAAGAAATGAGGAGGACAATAAAGAACGGAAAGAAGTTGCAGAGGGCGTGAAGCAAATGAGGTGAACTGACAGGCAACGAGAAACCTTGTGCATTCGAAAAAACATACAAACAAAGAGACAACACGGTTTCAAATTGTATTAAATGAATGAAGCGTACGAAGGGGCGAGAAATTGTAATCATACCTAAAAAGAGTAGGCGTTCTGACGCTTGCATTGGAATAAGGGAAACCGCCGTATTTTTTGACCCTCTAAGTCCAAAACCAAACATGCCGACTAACTGACATTAGTAGGATGTTTGGGGGACAATTGTTGTTACGTAGGTAAGCCGAATAATTTTGAGAAGGAAATCAAGTCATGTACTATACGGCTCTATCCCGGAAGGACGGGCCGAATAACCAGATCGGTTGAAGAGTCAGGTGTAAATCAGGCCGAATATGAACAGGTAGCCGAATGAGCGATTGTTCGTTGGACGAAAGGTGGGCCTAACCATCAACATCAAGGACGACTATAAATAAGAAGAGCATCGGCTAAGGAAAGGTATGTAAGAAAAAGTAAGATTAACTTGAGGTATAAGCAACTTAGAGAGTATACACTGACTTATCCGCCGGAGTGCTAATTCTGACACCCCCGACCGGAGCGTTCATTTCTTTTCAGGTGACTAGCAGAGGATCAAGAACATCCTACTGGATCTAGAGAGTATTTTCAATTCTTATCTCCACATTTATTAATGAGCTAAATTAATATATATATATATATATATCATCACTCTAATTTAAATTTTAACATTATTTATACATGTAAAAATAAAAAATAAAAAAAGAAATAAAGAAAGTGTAAATATATGTTTTTTTCGTAATTTAAATTCAAGTATTTGTTAAAAGTTTCAAATTTATTTTACTATTATTATATTTTATTAGTGAGCTAAATTAATATATATTAAAAGGGTCCAACTCATTCAATAGTCTCCAAGACCAATCAAAAAATATATATTAGTTTAAGTGGGCAAGTTTTTAAAAATTCTTTTGAAATTTAGTTTTAATATCAGGTCAAACTTGAAATGATAATTCGAAAATAAATTGGACGGTACTGTTAGGTCGCAGTGAGCTCGATTTTAGATTTATCTTGATGATTTAAACTATTCAATATATAGATCTCGTCGAGTACACCTACAAAAAATCACGTTAATCGGACATCGCTAATTATTTGATCAACTTGCATTTGTGTTTGCAATTGATTTTAAAAATTATAATTGTCGTTTGAACAAATGTAAATTGATCAAATAACTATCGATATTCAAATAATGTAATTTCTTATAAGGATGATATATTTAATGATCTCTACACATTAAAACGATTTAAATTATCGAAATAGGTCCGAAATCAAGCCCAGGCCAATAGTATCGTCCAATCCAATTTCTAGAGAGAAGTTTTGGCATTCTTACTATATGTATTATATGTATGCAAGTTCTATCCATTCAATGTTGATTATGAGTGAGTAAGCATCTACTAGATCGTCAAAATCGAATGATTCAAATTAATCCCTCACAAAATGAATGATTTTAATTAGGGGTGGGCGCGGGTCGGTTGCGGCCACGGAACCTCCAATCCGCCATCCGTCCGCCAGATTGGCGGATTGAAGAAAATCAATCCGCATCCGTCCGCCAATCCGACGGATGTGGATTGAGCGGATTGGCGGTTTGGCGGATGGATGCGAATCGGTTTGGCGGTTTAAAATTTTATAAATTTTCAACATAATTCAACTTGTGCACTTCCCCAAAAAAAAAAAAAAAAAAAAATTATTACAATCAATGACTTAAAAAAGTATTACAATCACTACATGCCATTAGCTTAAGAGGCCAAGTTTTTCAAAATTCTTTTGAAATTTAGTTTTAATATCAGGTCAAACTTGAAATGATAATCTGAAAACAAATTGGACGGTACTGTTAGGTCGCAGTGAGTTTGATTTTAGACTTATCTTGATGATTTAAATTATTTAATGTATAGATCTCGTCGAGTACACCTACAAAAAATCACATTAATCGAATATCGCTAATTATTTGATCAGCTTGCATTTCTGTTTGCAATTGATTTTAAAAATTATAATTGTCGTTTGAACAAATGTAAATTGATCAAATAACTGTCGATATCTAATTAATGTAATTTTTTATAAGGATGATATATTTAATGATCTCTACACATTAAAACGATTTAAATTATCGAAATGGATCTGAAATCAAGCCCAACACAGGCCAATAGTATCGTCCAATCCAATTTCTGGAGAGAAGTTTTGGCATTCTTACTATATGTATGCAAGTTCTATCCATTCAATGTTGATTATGAGTGAGTAAGCATCCACTAGATCGTCAAAATCGAATGATTCAAATTAATCCCTCACAAGATGAATGATTTTAATAATCTAAATGGACGGATATAAATATATCTTTTTCAATCCATCTAAATTGGGATAGAAAGCTAATGAGACCACTCAACCAAGCATGTTAGCCATCATAAAAATATGGGTTTGAGGCCCATCGGGAAATGCCGGCCCATCCCTTTGATCCGATGTAACAAATATGGTTTAAAAATTAAAAAGAAAAATTATTAGGTGGTTCGATGGCGTTGTCGTTAATTGAGATAGATTCGTTATGATTAGTAACCACCGTTGGAACACGTTTCAACACCTTACTCAACGAATGAATTAGTCATCACCCTGTCAATCCGATTCCTATGTTTGTTTTTCGTCTTCTTCTTGTTCTTCTTGGCTTTTCATCAGTAGTTGCAGTGCTTCCATTGCAAGAACTCACTCTTCCTGACTTCAAAATCTAATTCACTTTCACCAATCACCTGCTCATATCACAGCTTCTCTTTCACTCTCATCTCACAACCACCCTCTTTCTAGGGCAGCTTCTTCTTTTTCTTCTCATTCTCTCCCCGTTTGGTTCCCCAGAAGAAAAACAAAAAAAACAAAAGAACTTGTGGAAACTATCTTAGAATTGACAATTCTGATTCTTTTCTTAGAATTGAGATTTAATTTTATTTAATTACAGAAACCCTAAACCCAATTCGCTTCCCTGGATTCAAATTTCCGCGAAAAATGGCTTCTGCCCACGGATTCGCTTCTCTTTCCAACTTGGGATTGACGTATTGTTCGTCCCGTCGGTATCGTCTTCTTGTTCCTCAATTTTATAGGAAATTTACTGCTGATTCTTGTTCTAGGGTTTCAGTTACGGCTTGCAATAGCCAAAACCCTAGTTTTGTTGTGGCTAATCGGAGTAAAATTCGAGATTTTAGGTCTTTCAAGTCGGTTGAATTGGATAGGTTTTTAACTAGTGATGATGAGGATGAAATGAGTGAGGGGTTTTTTGAGGCAATTGAGGAATTAGAGCGGATGACGAGGGAGCCCTCGGATGTTCTCGAGGAAATGAATGACCGGCTCTCCGTTCGCGAATTGCAACTTGTGTTGGTGTATTTCTCTCATGAGGGGAGAGACTCTTGGTGTGCATTGGAGGTGTTTGAGTGGCTTCAGAAGGAGAATCGAGTCGATAAGGAAACAATGGAGCTTATGGTTTCTTTAATGTGTGGGTGGGTTAAGAAATTGATTGAAGCCAAACATGATGTTGGGGATGTGGTTGACCTTCTCGTGGATATGGATTGTGTTGGGTTGAAACCAAATTTTAGTATGATTGAGAAGGTGATATCTATGTATTGGGACGTGGGGGAGAAGGAGAGTGCTGTTTTGTTTGTGAAAGAGGTTTTGAGACGGGACATTGCTTACTCAGAGGATGGCGGGGAAGGGCATAAGGGAGGCCCCACTGGGTATCTTGCTTGGAAGATGATGGTGAGGTTCTGTCGTCTATAATTCTCAATATCATCAACTTGTTATTAAATTTTATTCTAGATTTTACATTGCTTGTTCTTTGATAGGTTTGACTTAATGCGCTTTTTATATTCACACCCTTAATTTGTCTTGGATGCCATAATCTCATGTCGAGTATTCTATGTGATGTTTCTTTGTTGAGTTGATTTTGTTGCAAGGTTTTTCATATGTGGATACCAAGCCATCTTTATGTGGGTTGTATAATAATGTACTTGTTTTATGGCATATTAGAGCACTAAAAGTATATATTTGTGCTGAATTTTGTCCATCATTAATAGTTAATCTACCTTCATATTCTTATGCTGGATGTTCTACTTTAATGTTTTCTTCCTCTTAAAATTATTGGCCCATGCACAAGTACATATGTATTTTGTGATTGCTTTTCTTTGCAAATCTCTTCAGTCAAGTCAGCACTCAGAAAGTTGATCAGTTTGTGCTATTGGATTTATTCAATCCAATAGGTTTAGTCAGCTGGAAATATTATGGATCACTTGAGGAGGACATTGTCAATATAGATGAGTAACACCTTATCTTTTTGCTAGGTCTCTTTCATGAATTCTTGTAGTGATGTGACTTGATTGCATTGCCAGATTATCTTCATTGATTTCGTGTACTTTCCCTCTAATCAGTGCCATGCTATATCTACCTTATTACATTTGTAATTGTCATATCTAATTTGCTTTTTCTTTATCTTACCAGTCATCTATCATGACACAATTATCTTAATATGGTTGCTTTTATTGACATTTTAGAATAGTTACATTGAAATTTTATGTTGCATAAAAAGTCTTTTCCAATGTGCTTCGACCTGGTTGCAGAACAAGACATAGAACAAGTCCATTATACCATCTATTATGTCTTAAAAAGAGACTTTCTTAGTCCATTATCTGTGTTGTTGGATTTGATTAGTCTATTAGGCTTACCTGCAAAGGTTGGGAATGTTGTATATGTTACAAATTTCTTGTATAAAAATGTGGTCGGCCTCACATATCATTGTTTGTAGAATACATAGAGTTATTCTGTAGAATGGCTCATAATGCAGCCAAAGGAAATGATCCAAAGTGGACACCTTCATGCTCAACTCAAGCTCAGGATGCTAAAAGATTTTGATTGGACTCTAGCTCATACCTAATATATGATAAAATGAACTCGGGTTTGTTTTATGACAGTCTGAGTCAGCTTACTTTTAGTCAATTGTACATTTTGAATGTCTTACTAACTAGTGATGTTATTTTGTTGTGCATGCATTTATTTGAGAAATTATTTTGTGTGTCTAATGGTAAACACTGTTATAAAAAAAAATGTGCTATGTTAGGCGGATGGTAAATACCGGGATGCAGTCAACTTTGTGATTCACCTTAGAGAATCTGGGTTGAAGCCAGAGGTCTACAGCTACCTAATTGGTATGACAGCCGTGGTGAAAGAGCTGAATGAATTCGCAAAAGTTTTACGCAAGTTAAAAGGTTTCAGCAAGGCTGGTTTAATTGTCGAATTAGATTCAGAAAATGTTGGTATTGTTGAGGGGTATCAGTCAGATCTTCTAGCTGATGGAGTACGCTTGTCCAATTGGGCGAGTCGAGAGGGAGGGCCGTCACTTTATGGGATGGTTCATGAGAGACTACTTGCCATGTACGTTTGTGCTGGTCGTGGACTTGAGGCTGAAAGACAGCTGTGGGCAATGAAGCTTGTGGGTAAGGAAGCTGATGGAGATCTCTACGACATTGTTTTAGCGATCTGTGCTTCCCAAAAGGAGCCCGGTTCAATTGCACGATTGCTGTCAAGAATGGAGGTTACAAGTCCTATGCGTAAGAAGAAAACCTTATCGTGGTTGTTGAGAGGGTACATCAAAGGCGGTCATTTCGATGATGCTGCAGATACAATAATTAAAATGCTGGACTCTGGTTTATATCCAGAGTTTCTAGACAGGGCAGCTGTGATGCAGGGACTAAGAAAAAGGATTCAACAATCGGGAAATTTGGAAACTTATCTCAAGCTGTGCAAGCGCCTCTCCAATGAAAATCTGTCTGGGCCTTGTCTCATTTATACATACATGAAGAATTATAAGCTGTGGATAATAAAAATGCTTTGATGAATTGGACAAGAAGTTGTGAGGATACTGAACCTTGTATTGAGAAAGAGGTCCAGATCTTACAAGCACAACTTCGTCTCTACATAAACATTTTTTATAAATATGTATAGTTTTGAGTGGCTCAGAGAGCAGTGCGATGATGGTGAGTGTTTTGCTCTCGAGTTCAAATAGTTTGTGTAAATGGTGGATGCTGTAAACATAATCAAGAACTTGTAGCAAGATGATATAGAAAGGCTGTATATGTATGTTACAGGTATGTTCTTATGGTTTCCTTATTCCATTTCGCTTTGGATTTCTTTCTTCTTTTTTTTTCCTTTTTTCCTTCTTTTATTACGGTCAAGCTACATCTGGTCTTGCTGTTAGGGGCCTCATATGCTCGCATATATGTATGTATACTGTGAATCTCTGTCATGTGTTGTTTATGCAATGCTTTTGATGATTTCGTAGGAATGTGGAATCCCAATTAAGCCCTTTTTTAAGATGGATTGGTTGCAAAGAGAAGTGGATGGGAAGGGTGTTTTTATTTTCTGTTGAATTGCCCTCTATTGCTCTGAACTCTCTTTCGGAAATATTTTTTGCTGAGCCATTACCTTCGACCTGAATGGAAACACCCACATGAATGATGGAGGATTTTTTTAAAGGGAGCTCTAGAGGAAAAATCCATGTGATGCTAAAACCCTCAACCTTGTGAAATCATAAAACTGTTATGAACCCTTGAACGGCATGTTTATTTGTAGTCTGGCCAACAGAGTTTTAGGTGCCACAAATTTCATATTTGTTTTTGTCTGGCATATAGAATCTGATAGCTTCACTTTGTGGAAAACTTGATAAAACTTTTTTGTCGCGTTAACTCAAAACTAGTGGCTCTAGTTGGAGGCAATAATAGAAAAGTGGGCAAGGGGGGTTTTGAAGATAAGGCAGCCATTCACTCAAATGCAAATGGTGAAAACAAAAACTCAAATTCCACAACACAACCTCCAAAAGTATCAACAAGGCATCAGGAAAATGTCTTGAAAAATCATATTTATTGATTTCATAATAGTATTTTTGTAGATAATCAAATGCCAAATCCTTGGCATGGAAAAAACAAAATCAACACAGGACTTCCCTTATCAGTATATACAGATATACTCCTGTACCCTATATTGGATGCAACCATTTTCCAACAAAAATATAATAAAAAAATATGTATCGAACAAATTAGATACCAGTAACTTCGAGCTCAACAGCATTAAGGGCAAAAAAAATGCAATAGACAATTGGAAAGAGAATTAAATTTATACTTTGCAGCGCAATTTGACCTCTTTAACTTGCTTCAGTAGTCAAAATCTCAAGTTCAGCCCACCAAAGAGGGGATAATTTTGGTGTAGCTCCATCAGGGCCCATAGTTGTGATCTCTTTCAACCTAGCTGTGACCTCTTTCATTGTTGGTCTGTGTTTGGGGTTAGAATGAACACAATCTTTTATTACTTCAAATAGTTTCTCCACCTCTTCCTCTTGGAAAGATTTCAAAGTCGGGTCGACGCGTTCTCTCAAGGGTTGCTCCCGCTTTAAGTAATCCGACGCCCAGTCCACACGAGAACCATCATTATCCACGGAGTATGGAAGCTTACCTGTTACCATTTCAAACAAAATCACCCCGAAGCTGTAAACATTGCTCTCTGGATCTCCGGATGGTGTCTCCAAGAGCGCTGCGGCGGCTGAACCCATCTTTGTTGCAGTGAGTTCGTTCCAGAAACTGAAATCTGATATTTTGGCTGCATAGTCTTCAGTAAGATACACAGAAGAAGAATGGAAGTTTCTGTGGGCTATGGGCGGGGTGAGCTGATGCATATGCTCGAGGCAGTACGCCATGCCCATGGCTATTCGCAGTCGCATTCCCCAATCCAAGTGCTCGGCTTCTTTTACTGCAGAGATGATTAGAGACGATTAATTCAGCTTTATAACTAGGGGTGTTCCGGAATTGAACATCAACTAAACCAGAAATTGAATACTGCAAATCAAGTGCGTGTACATCACATATCTGCTATGATTAATGCAATCACCAAACTCCTCACATCATGGCATTCAAACATGAAAGCAGTGATTTCAGCAATCAAACATGAGACATGAAATAATGGCAGCCTCATCGACAACAAAAACTGAAATCTTAATCTATGCAGGGATTACATCCCTGGACTTGTCAACATGCAAAATGGGTCTACGAAGAATTAAGGTCCGCATTGACCATCCAGAAAGGCCTGTTGTTTCATTTCGTCTTATGGGCAACTAATCATGAAATGCTACAAGTATATCACAAAACTCACTGTGTAGATGCTCAAAGAGCGTCCCGTTTGGAGCATACTCAAAAACCATCATCCTGGTGAAAGGCTTCTCTTCTTCGCAAAACCCAATAAGGTTCACAAAGTTCTTGTGGTTCACTTTTGATAGTGTGTCTATCTGAAAAATGACCAAAAAGTAACAAATAAGCGATAGCCGAAAGTGGAGTGTAAATATCATTGCCCTTAAATTTATTTGTTTTTTTAATTTTACGATTAGCATACCGTCTTTCGAAACTGGGCTTCTGATTTCTTTGACCAGTCTTCAGCATACTTCACTGCAGTGGATGTTACTGCTATCTCAACTCCACTTGAAAGAGTCCCTTTGTACACTGTGCCATCTGATAGAGAACCAATTATGTTACTGAAATCTTCACAAGCTGTTTCTAGTTCTGATCGCTGGAGCTTCGGTACACCTGGAATGCAATCATACTCTCAAATTCTCAAACATGATTACAAAGAAACCGATTCATTGATGTAACATCAAAATGGATTCTTAAAATGAACATGTATTAGAGGCAAGAAGATTCATCCTCCAAAATGCAACCTTTCAAGACTATCATGAGCGTCATTGAACTGTCCACATTTTTAAGCATTAGATTCACCTAGAGTACGAACATGTAAAATAAGCATTTATCAGTATGAGAAAAAGAATAACCTGTTACAAACGCCTTTTGAAGCTGCCCACTTAATCCTGTTGCCCAAGGTTTGACGGTAACCACCTTACTACTTCGACAGAATAAAAAGCCAAGGACCGAAAAAAATATGAATACAGAACCCCCCAGCATTACAGACCACATCAGTCTTGTCAGATTTTTACGATCCTTATCTGACGTGGAACTCTGTGGTACATTTTGGCTAGGAGTTGATGGAGAAGGCAGCAAGGGAGAAGGATCGTGCACTGGTGGCTTAGAATCAAGAGGTGGATTTGGTAGAGCTGATGGAGCTGGACTTGGTGGTGGCATAGGTGACGGTGAAGGGACCAAAGAGTCTGATGGGGAAGCAGCTGGAGATTCTGGTGGTAATGATGTAGATGCTGATGGGGGTAATGAAATAGATGAAATTGGTGAATCTGAGGGTGAGTGTGAAGGTGAAAATATTGATGGCAATGGTGAATTTGAAGGTGATGCAGAGGGAGAAGGAAATGGTGATGACTTGGAATCCCTCTTATTTTGTCTTTTGCTCTTAGCTTTGGGTGAATTTGGGGCCATCTGCAGCAGCCTCCGTTGCGCTACATTTCCATCGCGTTCTGTGCTCCTGCGAGTAAAAGAAGCTCATCAAGAAGAGCTAAAAAAAATTGCTTTAATGTTCCTCATCAATCACAGAGCAAATATGCAGGTGATGTGAAAGAACTACCATTTTTCCCAAACGGAAAAATCCCAGTCATAAACCTTTTCTTTTCTTTTCACTTTTAAAATTCTTAGTCCCAAATAAATTTTTCCATCAAGTTTATGGAAACCCCCAATATAATGTATTATTCAACAATTCAAGCATATTGGAAAGAGAGAAATGCAAAATTACAGTAACTGGAAGGAAAAGAGCTTCATATTTGTCCAGACTTACCAAGCACTAGCTCTGCTGTTGCAACTAGCCTCTAAAGCAGCACTAGTGAGGTGATTCTCATCTACTTGAAATTCAGAAAGCGTCATAAGTCTATAAAGTTCAGGAGATAAGCTACCAAGAAACTTGTTGTTGTCCAGTAAACTGCAATAATAACCACAAGATCTAGTTAACACAAGCTTAGGTTGCACAGTCAATGTAAGATATCAAAAATTAGACGGATTGACTCACAGAATTGACAAGGACAGGTTATTGCCAAGATCAGATGGAATTGGCCCACTAAAATTATTGTATCCTAAATCCAACACCTCCAGTTCCTTCAATTCAGCAATCTCCACTGGAATGTTTCCCCAAAACGAGTTGTTGCGTAAAGTACTGCATTGAAATAGTGTCAAATGCATGAAGACACAGAATAATTAACTACATGGGGCCATAAAATGGTTTCATATAGGCTTACATGGATTTCATGTGTGTCAGCCTCCCCAGCTCAGGTGCCAATGTTCCTTCAAGACAAAGATCCTCCAAGTTCCTGCAATTTGAACAAAAATGACTGTAAGGTTAAGAGAAAAGTGCAATCATAATATGCAATAATCAAAGCCTAGACTACCCCTCACTAGCTGTCATAGCATCACTAGGTGCACAATTAAATTGTTTTGAATCTTATCAGTTGAAGGGCTCTGTGATCCTCCTAAGCAACTAGGTTCAGGTAGTTCCATTTCACTTACAGTGGTAATATGAAATGCCAACACGGCTGAATCATTTGCACAAGGAAAATATTTGAGGGCCACAATTTTTGTGGCCACAATGGCTCAAAACTGTCAAAACGACGTCGTTTTGAGTGCAAAACATGCCAAAACGACGTCGTTTTGACAGTTTTGAGCCATTGTGGCCACAAAAATTGTGACCCTCTAGCATTGTTGTTTACACAACAGCCAATGTCACAACAGCATGACATTTACCAAATGAACAAGGGGAAAAGATTCTCTGCAATACTTTCTTGCAATAATTTGTGTTTTGAGAGCTTAAACCATTTACTTAAATCATAATTAATTGTGTTTTGTGTTTTGGGCTTAAACTAGTATTGCAAGATTATTGGAATGAGGATTATTGCACCGGCATTTCATCTTGCAAGAATGGAAAATTGTTTATTTGTGTCCCAAGTTGCATGGCATGATGGGAGCTTTGTTAAGTGATTTGTTTTTGTTTAGAATGCAGAGTGAATTATTCTGATTTTGAAAAACAGAGTTGACCAAAACTAGGATTATAAGAGGTTATGCACAGAACTAACTAGGATTATTCTGATTTCTCTAATTTAAAATAATAAATATACCTATATATATAAAAGACGCCTAGTTGACCTAAACTTTTCATGAATATTATAAGCCAGGAAGCCAAGTATTCATCGACATCTGTTAGCCAAATGAAATGAAATGAAGCCAACTATTGTTATTTTGAAAGTGGCAGGTTTAGAGAGAATCTTCAGAAAAATACGTGAACCACCATTCAAAGGTGGACAAACCAAACCTAACAACTCAGTCCCCATTATAGAACTAAAAAATTGCTACAACTATAATATCATCAGCCTCCCCATCTTTTAACATATTCCACCTCTTCCCAAAAAATATAATATATTAAAAAATAAATTGACTTTGTCTCCATCTCATTCGACAAAATGTTTTTAAATTCACAAGTTGGATCTATTCTTCGAGCTTCCCTTCATTCATTGCTAAGCCAAGGTCCCAGGTCTCTGAGTCAGCCCACGCTTTTTCAAAGAGCCGTGGTGTACCCATGGGCATACAGCCCGGTAGGGCTTCCCTTTCCACCAGAGCTTCATGCCCATCCCCCAATCAGTTTTTTGGATGTGAGCTATACTATGCGAGGAGCCAAACAAGTGTATGGCCTTGCCTCTAATGGATACCAGAAGTCTTGTAGACATGGTTTGTCAGTGAAAGGTGATAGGGGAAAATTAAACAATGTCCACAACATCTGGAACTGATCACATTTTAGCTATTAAGAGATCTAGAAAATGGGTATCTCTGAGAAATGGATGTGTAACCTTGTTTTGACTGAATTGCATTGAAATTTCAAGAGAAACAACGGGTGGATTGGATACTTATTTCATTTGAAACATCCATATCAATACTACCTAAAGTCTGCATGGTAATGAAGTTTAGGTCATTAAAACAACAATAGACACTACATAGTTTCACAAATTATTCATCATTGATATCATTTTAAATTCAGATTTCACATGGAAGAAGTGGACATAAAATTCAATCAATCAAAAGAAAATCCGAATTCTATAGAACTCAATTTCCTTATTAAGATGTATTCTAACAAATCAATAGATACATACATACATGAATGTATTTACTTGTGCGTTTCCAAATACAAAAACGAAAGAATGAATTACTCACAGGATAATTACTCTTCCGTCAGAGCACTCAACTCCGAACCAAGAACAGGGATCGATGTCTCCGTCAAGATCATTCCAGTTCAATAGCGCACCAAATGGATCTCTCACCACTCTCTCTCGAAACTCCAACAACGCCAAGCCTGTAACATGAATATTCAAGTTCATTCACATTACCTCCCAAAAAGAGGAAGACGAACAAAGAGATAGTTTCCAAAGTGTAATTGAGCTCTTGTACGTACCTTCGCTGTTGAGAGACCAGCACAGACTCGAGCTGTGATGAAACATGAGAAGAACAACCAACACCATCGCCATGCGAAGCTTGAATCTCCATCTTTCACTCATTTCAAATAATTTTGGAGAAAAACGATTGGTCTCTGTAGTCCAATCAATCAATGATTAAACGTGTATCAACATACCTATATACATATATATAGGCAGATATATAGATAGAGAAAGAGAGTTGAGAAAAATAGACAGAGAAAGTGAGAGCAGAATGGGTCGAAAGAGACTTATTATACATAGAGAGAGAGAGAGAGAGAGAGAGAGAGAGAGATTGTTGGCGTCTGTGTAAGTGCAAGCTAATTTAGAGAAAGAGAGAAGAAACGCGTAATTCGGTGATTTTTCTGAGATTTTTAAATGATGCGATACGAGAACTACTCTCACAGCAAATTATACAATAGTGCGAATTATTACATGGTCATATTTTTTTATTAATCAGTATTTATTATATTATGTTATCTTATGTTTTTCAATTATTTAATATAAATAATTAATATTTTACTTTTTTTAACTAACTATACTATTTTGAAATATCATATATGGTAAGAAAAATAATATATGTCTATTTTTTAAATTTATTTATGTCAATAAAATAAATGATTGATAATTAAAAAATAAACAGTAATTACAACATATTTTTTGAGATTTGTTTAAAATACGAATTGTCCTTTTAATTTGGAAAAATACAAATTAGTGTGTTTGGTTTAAGTTTTTTGAATTAAGTTTTTTGAAAATTGAGTTTTTTGGTTTTCGTATTTTTTGTTTTTAGTGAATATTTTTAAAATTTTAAACATTTTTTTTTACTTTTTTAAATGCACCTTACTTAGATGTATCTAAAAAGTAAAAAATTTGTGAAAAAATATTTTTAAAAATTAATAAATACATAAAAATATTAAAAAAATGTACTGAATTCTCGTATTTTTTTGTATTTTTGGTATTTAGTGAATTTTTAAAAAGATTTTTTTCAATTTTTTTTTACTTTTTAGGTATATTTATGTTAGGTATGTCTAAAAATTAAAAAAATTGCTCAAAATATTAAAAAAGTAAAATTTCTAACTGTTCACCTATACAATAATAAAATTATCTGAATTATTAATTTAAATAAAATTTTAACATTATTAAAAACTGTTAATTAACTTGATGATTTATTAATAAAAGAACTTATTTATTATAAAATTAAAAACCTTATGAGATATAATGTAATTTTTAAAATCATAAAAAATAATTTATAATTTAAATAAATCTCAAAAGATGTGTTTATAATTTATTCAAAAAATAAATAAAAGAAAGAATTGATTTAAATATTTAAGTGGAGTCCCACATGTAGAAAGTGGTTTTAATTTTTTCAATAATAGTTTACGGACCGACATTCTAAAGAACTGAAACTTGCCGACACAACAGACCGAAATATCGGCCAATTGGTGAACTTGACCGAGATTACAGTTATGGTAGTTTGTTTCTTTCCGCGTTTTCCTGCGCGCCTGCGGCGACTCTCTCTCTTCTCTCTTATAATCGCGCCGTTGCGTAATTTTCCGTTTATTTCTTCTTCTTCTGTTTTTTACCCTTGATTATTTCCTTTAATACTCTTAGGTCATGTTTGATTCACAATACTAATAGTGAGGTATTAATAATCCTATCAAATTAGTGTGGTATTAACTATCCCACCCCTACCCCATTACTAATAATCCTACAAATTTGTTGGATTAATTATCCATTGGATTAATAGTCCTAAACTAAAATGTCAAAACAAACATAGGATGATTGGGCCCACGGATTAATAATCCTAATCCCATGCTTTAATCCTTCCAATCAAACATGCCATGGATGGAATAATAGTAGGAAAATGCTAGAGACCCCAAATAATCTATCAAATATTTTATCAAACTTCTCACATGGGATAATAGTAGGAAAATGCTAGAGACCCCAAATAATCTATCAAATATTTTATCAAACTTCTCACATGGGTGTGGGACTCACATAAACCCACATGTGTGTGGGTCCACATCCATGTGAGAGATTGGTAAAACATTTGGTAGATTATTTGGGACCTCTAACATTACTCATAATAGTATATATATCAATTAATACATTAATTAATATATTAGTTGATAATATGATATAATTTAAGATATTTTTTATATTTATAATTTATATAATGAGTAGAGGCAATAATAATGTCATAATTAATGTTAGTACACGAATTAATACACTAATTGATGCTAGTAGCATCACCATAATAGATACTTCATAAGTTTAATTTCGAAGTTTTTGAGTAATAGTCCCAAATTCTTTTCTTTTGAAGTCCGAAATACATTAAAAAATTTATGGTACCATTTGGTGGACTTTTAGAATTATGATTTGAAAATAGAGTTATATTTTGAGTTTGTGAGTTTTGAAATTATGATTTGAATATGAAAAATTTATTTAGTTATAAGTTCTGAAAAGAGTTTGGAATTGAGTTTGAAATGAATGATGTGACATATGATATTTGATTTAAAAACGTACAACTCATAATTAAATACATAACTCAAAATTCTATTCAAAATTCATAAAAAAAATTTAAAAATTCTAAAAATATTTTTTATTTAAAAAATATATAAATAAAAAATAAAAAAAACTGAACACTGTCCCAATCAACTGGGAGACGTCTGAGGGATGATCGAGTAGATGTGTTTGTAAAAATGAGTATCAAATTAATTTTTAAAAACTGTAACCAAACAATTATCTCAAATCAAGTGGTGAAATTAACTCTAGAAAACTCTACCAGACGGAGCCTATATTTCTCATACTTATCTCTTATTTATCTCCTATTTATGTACATATTATTTTCTTTTTGTTCACTTATCATCCATCTGTCCATCACCAGCATCAGTTGTAATCGGTAGCTTGTAAATACCACTGACTTTTTGGTTCTCTTTCCATGGTGGTAATCCAGTGATACTAGATAAAAATGACCCCAAAAAAAAAAAAGTCAAAATAATAATTTAGAATAATGCTTGGGACCCCTTTTGGGGGTCACCCCCTCACCCCCCCTTTGCCACGTGGTGGGTGGTGATTGGAGGAGCAGGAAAAAAAAAATGTAACCAATGAGAGAGAGAGGGGGTCAAAGGGGTGGGAGAAAAAGAGGGAATGAATCATTGTTGAATAATTTATCATTCTCGCAAATAATATCATTAATCATGTCGTTATCACTAAAACAAACCATCTTTAGACCTAATGACACCCACACAAATAAATAGATTTTCACCAACTTTTCCTATTAGAAAAATACAATTTATCTTCCCATCAGCTTCACTTTTTATGTATATTCATGTAATAAGTGTCAAAAATTTATATATGAGATTTATTATATTTAGAATAAAACCGATCTTATAAAATAAAAGGTTTTTATAAATATAATTTGTGTGAATGAACAAAAGTGCTTTCATAAAAAGGTTAATCCATGATTATTTTCCATTAACGCATGACTAATATTCCCTTTTTATTAACTCTCACCATCCATCTTCTAACCGGTCCATTTTAGTTTATTATTGAAAATTCTAAATTCAAAAAACAATTATTAGTCAAAAAGATATTCAAAAACAATTCCAACTTTTGAAAAATTATACAAAATTTGGCCAAAAAATAACCATATCATCACACATCAAGCCAATCCCGTTATCTTGAGAGCAATTAGGGACACACTATTTTCAACTACATATTCTATCACCTACTAACAGTAGGAGTGAGGTTCATGCTATGATGATATGTGAGCCCTACTTCCTTTGTAAATAGGGGTAAAAAGCACACATCAAGCAAAAATTTTGACTGTCAAAATTTTTTTGAAAACTTATGTGTGTCCATAATCACTCTGCTATCTTTTTATCTTTTGCACCTTATGTATTTTCCGAATCGTTTTTTTTAAACTTATTTGATTAAAAAAAAATTATATATCTCCATGTTGCATTTTTATGTTTGTATAAATATATATTAGACTAGTATTCATAAACATGATGTGTGTGAAGAAATGAAAGACGGTGATAACTGTTTTTTAATATTTAAAAGATATATATAACTTTGACAGTCAAGAGTAATTTGGGCATAACAAAACATGCCAAACATAATTTGCCAAGTAAATTATATATTTTATATAAGAGAATAGGTATTGAACATGTTATACTGTGTGTGTAAAAATCTGACCACACTGCCCGTTTAGTGATCAGCAGCAAAGCACCGGCAGAATAAATGGCTCCAGCAACCTGTAACAGAAAAGGAAAGCTCCGGCGGTGGTTCTTCCACCCGGGGGCACTCCGACGATCAAGTTAGTATGTTTCTCAAGGATAATCAAGTATTAAACTGAATACTCAAGGTCTGAATTACATACCTTAGACCCACGGGGGTGCCTCTCTTTTATAATATACTCAATCCAAGTCCAACTAGAAGTACGACTTCTATGAACTCCAATCTTAGTGCTTACTCTGGACTCTTTAAGAGATAGAGATAAACTCCCTAAGAGCTTTTATCCTTATCTTAACTAAGTCCCCTCTTTGCCTTAGGACTCTTGTCCCTTATCTTCGGACTCCGACATCTTCGGAGATGACCTCGGCTTCTCCGAGATTACCTCGGCTTAACTACCAGGGCACGTGGCACCTCGGCTGACACGTCGGCGTCACCATGCCACGTGTTGGTATTCAAAAAATATGTCCCCACAACTGCCCCCTAGGTTCTATTACCTCGGAATTCTGAGGTGATGGAACCTATTCCGAATTTTTTGTCACTTCCTTTCTGAATAATGGCTCAAGAAGACTGCTTTGCCAAGATTATCTTTTTTCAGCCGACGTGTTCTCTTCGGAGAACGTGGCTTCGGTCGTACTCCCCTATGCACATGAGCTGTCATTCATGTCTAACTGTTCCTTCCACGTGTTTCGTCTTTATTGGAGCGTGTTAGTGACGCGCCTGGAAGCTGTCTGTTCGTTTCGTCTGCGCCGTCTGATGCGTGCGTTACCCTAGGCGCAATAATTGCCCTATTTTTGCCGCCGTTTCAAATTTTTGACAAAACTTCTTTTGCCTCTATCTTTTCTTCACTTTTTCTTTTCATCTTCTTTACTCTTTCTCTTCCGAAAGCCCGTTCTT